CCGGAGGTAAAAATAAAACTACAGTACATAGGATATAACCACTTTTGAATTGTTCTCAAACACATGATCATATCAAAAATATGCGGGGGATAGCAGATTAGAACTAAAGAAAATGAGATTTCTGGAAAATGTGTTAATTATTTTTGATGAAGATCGGTTGACTGGCTGGTCGAGAAAAAACACTGATCAAATTGACTGACATGTACAGCACCAGCATGTGTGTTAAGGGACCGTCAGTAGTCCACACATTTTTCATTTGATAATACATCGTACAATCCATCGTGCAATACAGTCGGAAAATTGTCCAACTTGTGAACACTAAAGTTCCAGATTCCCATTCATAAAATAAGTAAAATATTATTGTTTTTCTCAGATGGCGTATCAAATTTCGGTGCTAAATTAAACTCTAGTTTGAAAAAGAGGCCAATACACGAACAGTACATTTCCTGATTCCGACAAATCACAACCATTCAAAATAGATACCTCAGATTCTTCTGTTGCATCTGATTTTAGTGCAACTCATAAGTCAAATCACCATACAAATCTGTTACTGATTATAGAAAGTTTCAATATAAACATCATAAGCATCTGCACATCTATGTCCAAGAGAGAAAGAAATCTAAAGAGAGAGAGAAAGAGAGAGAGAATTGCTTTCATTCATTTATGTGCAAACAAAGATGAATTTTGTATTGTACGATCATTTTGTGCCTGCTAGTCTAACCTTTCAGTTGTTGACGTTGTATATTCGGAAACCAAGCAGAGACCGGTCTATTTTAACGTGACCGTTTGAAACTTCAGGCAGCTGGTTGATGCAGTCGGTAAATCAATTATACGTAGACCGAAGTATAATAACACGTGCTTTTAACATACACGCACCCAACCTCAGTCCATGAACCAAACAAGATAGATAAATAAATGAAATAGAATTAGATGAAATAAAATAAATATAATAAAATGAAATCTTTATAAAACCATGTATGATAACGCGATATAAAAATTAGGATAAAATATTCAAAGACTATCAAAGGAAAACATTAAAATTTGGCCTTATGAATTATCTATCATCTGAATTAAGAGTCCAGAATGGTTACCAATCCAAATTTTTGATTTTGATCTAAAATCTTGAACAATAAGTCTAATTTGCAGACAGGTTTTTCCGGCGTTATCTTGAAAATTCAAGTACGTATCCACCCGCTGATCAATGTGACAAAAGTTATGTTTCAGCGCTGTAAAGTCTTTTGGTTACACTGCGAAAAGGTCCAATTTTTCTTATTTCCAAACGTTTTGTAAAGATTAGTTTACTTCATAAAATAACATTTGAAGATTTTTACATGTGCCCTGATTATAAGTTTACTGAGTGAAATTTAACATGTAGATGTGAAAATGAACAAACATAGTTAATATAGTGATACATCATGTATTAAAACGGAGCTACTATATGTTTTCTTTTATTATTAAAATAAAAACTATAAATGAGATAGTAAAGATGATGTAGGCTGGGGTGGATGGGGGCGAGCAATTGCCCCCATACAGAGATTTTAGAAAAATATATTTCGATGTTCATTATGTATAAGCCCTTCATTAAACAAGTTAGAGTCTCTTACTTTTCCTTCATTCAGCGAGTAGATTGGTACCACAAGAGGTATAAATAATATTAACGTCTCCTCCATCCTAAATTACATTTAGCACATTCACCCCATCATTCAAACCAAGTGAACAAAAAACATTACTTAATCCACCAAAGATTTTCTACCTGGTACAAAACTGCATGAACTTTACATACAACATTGTTACAGTTAGGAGACATCTGGTAGAGAATATATAGCTACATCACGCGACCACTGACACGATTGCGGCGAGGATAAAAGGCTTCCGACAATATCGGATTGTCACTAGAGCTTGGTTGGAATATTAAAAAGGACATGTTATTTGCACAAATGACAGCTGGATTATACGTTGGATCAAGGTAAGAAAAAGGCAGGGATTTCCTTTAATCGTAGCGTCTACTTAATAGTGGAAAGTTATCTTCCAAAATTGACCAATTGTTCATTTTTTTAAAATTTTTTAATTTTTTATTTATTTATTTATTTATTTTTTTTTGTGATAAAAGCCTGAACATGGCCAGATTGCTTTAAATACTGATAGCTTTTGGATATGACATTTTTGCAAAATGGCCGCCAAAATATATCTGGACACATATGACCAAATATGGCGGCTGGTTTTTAGATAATTCTGGTGCTTCAAAAGGCTACTGAGCTTATTTTAATTCATTTTGCTAGGCTGCCCGAGTACTTGATCAGGTACGTCGTGATGTCTACCTACAGCAGCTTAAGAGCCGTCTGATTATCCGAGAGTTACGGTGCCGTATCACAGCCTTACAGTACTAGCCACCTTGTAGCTACATGTAGCTGCATTTTCTTGGTCCTAACTATACTCTACAGTTGCATTCACCATTTCATTTTTTCCATGCGTATTCTCATAATGTACAACAGAAGAAAACCGACAGAATTTAGATGGCGATGAAAAACAGCTACATGAAGATGACGAAGTCTTTAAAAAGTCTAAGTTCAAGATTTGTCAACAATGTTGTCAACAAATGCTGATTTAATTTGTATATTTCAGTAAGGTAAAATCATCTAAAAAGTAAGTTTTGTGAAAGATTAAGGGCTAAACGACCTAAGTATCAGATTCTGGTATGACTGACTGGTTAATCGTGGAAGCACTTTGACGAACACATTTCCCTTCTGTATCTAGATAGCATCCATTTAAGATCTTCTTCAGTTAAAAAGACATAACTTACCTGCCTTTTCCAAACTGTTTTGACGGCCATTTTGTTATTTTATTAATATGATTTTTTGAGATGTTAAAAACAATCCCAATATGCACCTAAAATACATGTACTTACTTTCCACAGGGTACGCTAGTAGGTTGTTACAAAATTATTGTAAGTGTAATTATTGTAGTTTAAATTTATACTATTTTATACTATCTTGAAGGAAGCCCCTGATGTCAGAGGGTATATAAAATACTTTCGGGTTGCGCAGAAAGATATTCGTACATCATTCTTTGACCGCTTTTTGTGCCAGTCATTCATTTAAACATATTCCATGAGCCAGTTAAAAATTATTTTAAAAAAATTACTTTGCACGTATAGTTGCAGTTTGCTTGTATTCAGTTGCAGGTTTCTACACTCAGACTCCTGGATGTCGCATTTCTCACGAAGCTACTCAAATTCTAAGACCTGCTCCATCTGTCTCGTAACCTACTCACTATAAAGACGGCCTAAAAATATTGGAAACAATTAAAGAAGGGGTAGTCTACCAGTATTTATAAAAAAAGGCCAATGGAAAGGCAAAACAGACTTGATGTCCCTTATTTTGCTATTTGAAAATAATAATGAAAATAAATAAATGAATAAAAGATCATTTAATAATGGGTAAGGTCGATTATGATGTACCAGTATGTAGGCCTACGTTAAGACAAACATCGCTAAGAAATGACAGGCTTCCGTGAGACTAAAAAAAAAAAAAAAAAGAAAAAGAAAAAGAAAACCCAGTAGTAAGTAGGCATTTTATTTGCAGGCGCTTGAATTGACATGTATTTTTGTAGGCCTACATGTGCGTATTAGTTGGCTCTGTAACAGGGGGTTTGATAGCCTATATGTATATCAAAGATTTAAGCTATATAATTTCGTAAAGTGAGAATAAGTTATTGGGTGCACATATTGATAACTCATGAATTTATTTTCAACACTTTGGTGACAGTAGGTCTATTACTTTAGGCATGTTAGGTATTGTCTGGAATGTAGAATCTGAATGAATAATTTACTGTTAAAGCAGGATGTCAATACACCCAAAACCGATATTATGTGAAATGCACCTGTATTTTATATAGAGGTGCATTTCACATGCTGAAGTGTCAAAAAAAAAATAAATAAATGAATAAAAATAAATAAATAAATAAATAAATAAATAAATAAATAAATAAGATTGAATGAATTGAAAGTTTTATTCAATTTTTTAAACACACACATGTATCTATCCATCTATATATAGGGCCTATATAAAAAAAAATCCAATTTTAATTTAATGTTTTATTTTTACCATCCCTTTACATATGTAAGGAGCCTTAATTGTAACGCCTATGTTTCGGTTAACGCATGTTCCGGGTCATTTAATTTTAATTTTTTTATTGCGTTCCGATATATTTTGTATTAAGTCACGTTAAATTATAGCCTACATGACGTAATTAAGGGCGTTATTATAAATAGTTAAACTGTAACTCAAGGGGCTAAATGTGTCATGGCTAATGCTATGTAACGTATGTTCCCCAGAAAAATTGTCAGAACATTTCATCTTACCCAAGTACTTGGTGCAATAGGAAACAGGTGCTGGGAGTTTGACATCTGATATCTGATACAATATTTGGACCACGAATGGAAAATAGTTGTTTAATGCTTAGGCCCTATTTTACTGTCAGCTAGTAGGGTGTATCCCCCCTCCCTTTTTTATAGGCTATTCGGTGACAAGCCAACTAATGTCGCTCAAAAACAATCAACTGCTTTATACAGAAGGTTATCATATTTTTTTACAACGTTATAGGCCTACTTAATTGTAGGAGGTAAATCAAAGAACAAAACCAGCGATGATTGAATTTTCAAAGTGGGTAAAACGTTTCCACATATGGACGTTTTGCATTTGTGTCCTTTTTAGGGTTAGACGACGAATTACTTTTTATTATTCATGAAAGTAAAACATAGTTTGCAATCTGTGCACTAAATATTTTCAAGAGCATGCCTGTGACCTTATTTACACCTCTATATTAATATTTAAACTGTTGAATATTATCAAAGAAAAAGGTAGGTATTTATCGCAACTGCTGCACTCTACAACAATGAACTCCTTTTTTCCCTTTCCAGCCGTTTCTCATCTTCACTTTAGTGAAATGCTTTAGTTGTGTTGCTACAACCTTGTGCTTTGAACAGTGCATTCTTCCACGTTTAAAATGACTCACTTGCATTTCGTTCTCTCCCACACGGCAGAGATGTTTAGGCTTAGCATTTGTTATGAGGAATTAATCTTACTGCGTCTTATTTTGTTGTTTTAGTTGTTAGAGCAGCCATCCTCGAGCATTTTAAACAACCCAAAACGAAACTGTGTGACGATCAGTGATCATTGTTGGTCTTATCTTGCGACCTTGCCTCTGGTGTTAAAAAATGGCGGAGAATTTTGATGTCGAAGACGTAGTTGAGGAGAAAAGAAACAGCACCGAAAAGAAGGAAGAGGAAATTGAATTAAAAGTAGTACCTAAAGATGATTCTGATATACAAGACAGCAAAAATAAACAAAAGTCGCGATTCAAAGTGAACAAAGTAGAATTCAAAGAGGACAAAGAGACAGTACCAGACAATGACGCTGGCGGCGGAGACCATGTGGAATCGCTGTCCCCGCCTACGTCTCCGCTCATATCAGACTCGTATAACTCGCACAGTTTTTATGACACCCACAATCTCAAGACATTTGGACATAACACAAATGAAGCCCTTCCACACGTTGATCATTACAGAAATTTGCTCTCAACCACTCAAGCATTAAAGTCGAGGCCGACGCTTCAAGAACTGCATGAAGAAAAGGTATGTGCTTCTTCCAGTCCAACCTCTATTGTTTGGGGAAGTTTTGTCAAATATTAGGTCTCTGATAGCCATATTATGTAGCAGTACATATTCCTACTACTAGTCATTTATATCTTTGTCGAATATTTGAGATGTCATTGTTGAGATTATGTTTAAAAAAAGTTGTATACCTAATGCCCAAGACACCTACACATGGCACCGTATACCCCCCCCCCCCCAATATAACAGTTACTGGCAAAGAAAGTGGAAAGATAACCCTTCCTCTGTTTATATTGAGTTGGTGCGTAAATGATAGATATCGGACATCCGACATGATATCAATGTTGGTTTCACCACTCTAGTCAAGGAGAGGCATTCAATAAACATTTGTTGACTTAAGTACGAAGGAGTGAAATCCAAACATAACCTATGATTTCAATGCAATTCCATTCTTTCCAAATAGAGAGTGACATGTGCTGTTGTGATTATTTTATGCTTTTGTGATTGTTTACTCAGGAAAATTTATCTCATTCTATGTGAGCTTTATTATCGGCAGTGGTATAAAAATGATAAAATTTGATAAATTGTGAGTATAAACATCCTGTTTATCTGCTAATAAGAAAGTACAGTTTGAATATTAGGAGTTCTAGTCAGATAACAGAAACTAAGTTTATAATGCCTTTTCTGCTATATTAAATGGAAATGAATATGCATCTCATTTGACAACACCTTTTTTGAAAGGAAATTTCAAATAGACTTGACTAAATTTCTGTAAAGCATTTACCTTTATTTAATATTAATTAAAATAATTATTTGTGTTAGTATTACAAGTGGCAACAGATATGCCCAGCCATTTTGTAATGGCGTCATTCTTCCATGTTTTTTACATTAATGGCTGAATTTTTTTTTTTTTTTACAAAATTTCATGCTTTGTTGAAGGTAAGTTCATATTTATCATGAAATGCTCTGTTAATCAGATATCAATCACACAGTGTATGTATGTTGGTATGCCTACAGTGTCAATAAAAGAAATATCAACTTATCACCTTTTTCAAAGCACCTGTCTGGGCCAAAATGTCATTGAACATTAGAGCTGCTGACATTATGGAAAGATACCCAAGCGTAACGCTGATTCTGAATCTGTATGCAAATTGTTTTGTTTTAGATTACCGGATAGATACATGATGTGTGAAACAAAAAGTTTATTGTAAAAAACTTCTGCACAGATACATTCTAAGAGAACATGATTTTAGAACAAACAAGCCATCCAAATTTCTTACACATTCCCTCAAATGTACTGTAATATGTAATATATATCTACTACTGCCAGTTTCTTAGATATAGATCTCTTTGAAATCCACATTTCATAAATTACCCCCAATTAATGACTCTGTCAAATTTTACCTACTACATTTATCTGACCCTCCATGTGGTAACGAAATGGAAAATGAAATAAAAGGAAATAATAAAATGAAAGCTTGTGGTATTTCTTTAAGTTATACGATTTAGTTGGGTTTAATAGCAATAATTTGACATGCCTACTAGTACTTGGTTAATGTGTGTCTTGAAGGGATAGTTGAAATTAGGAAACACTCACTTTCCTTCTTCAATCATTCTGATTATTTATATATATATATATATATATATATATATATATATATATATATATATGGATTTACTTTGGCATGATACTACTTGTTGCTATGGTATTGATCCAGCGTGGCAGCTGGCAGGATAAAGATTAGATAATCTTTAATGTGGAATATGGCAAAGCTTTGAAAATTATTTCAAGCTGTGAAGGGATTAACTGTCAATCCTCGTAATTTAGTTACGATTATCTCACTTGAGCTATTATATTTGACATGACTACATATTGGCTTGTGCCTTTCGAGAAATTTTTGTACTCCTCAGATTATTATTCAAACTGTTTACTTTTTGATGATTTTATGTTATGAAGTTGTATACGAAAGTTTTTTTGTATAACACAATTGTATTTATGTAAAAAAAAGAAATAACTTAAGAGAGCGATATCTATAATCTATCAATAATTCTGTACAGGTATTTACCCATTGGCAGGTGATATAGTGGATAATAGTATCACAGGTCTTGCCCAAGTTCACTGTATGGATGTTTACTTAGTCACTAACATGTTTACTCACATAAGTCTTGTTTGGTATTTTGTTTATACAGGCGGCATAATATAGTTACTTTTGCCTGTTGATCATTTCTTCATTGTTTATTTGCCCGATAGCTTAAGTTGTATCGATTAATCATGTGCCACACCTGCTCTAGTGCCTTTGTGTAAAGTATGATGCATTGTTAAATGTTTGAGGGGAGAGGGTGCTTAGTAGAAAAATTAGACACTGTTGTTTTGGAATGTATGTCTCATAGATTTGTTCATCCATAATTGTGAGCTCTTTTTTTTTTATTATTATTTCTTATAAAAGTTATTGAATTTTTTGGTATATATTGTGACATTTGCTCTTAAAGAACCAAACTGTGTTTTTGTTTTAATTAAAATTTACTAGGGACCTTTTTTTTAAAGAAAGGCAGCTTGAGTTTGAAAATCAGCATAGTGATTATCTTTCCAACAAATGAATCAATATCAGTAGTGCTCAAGGTATTACATAATATTTAATGCCCATTGCAGCCTATGGTGGCTAAGGCTTCGTTCACATGCAATGTCTATTTTCTAATTTCTATTTTCTATTTGCGCTATCTTATGATCACGGTCTGTGCCCTGAATATCCCGCCGCGTAATTACTGGCAGCGCGAGCCAGTTACTTATAGTAACTTATAGTAACTGGCTCGCGCTGCCAGTAATTACGCCGCGGGATATTCAGGCCACAGACCGTGATCATAAGACATACCGCAAATAGAAAACAGAATTTAGAAAATAGACATTGCATGTGAACGAAGCCTTAATTTAGTAATGAGTGTGTTAGCATTTAGTCATAGTAGTGTTGTGCCATATACTTATAACCAATGTGCAATCAAAGCTACATCTATTTGATCATACCTGCTGTAAAAACATCACTGAAAATTTTGAGTATTTGCATCTTTCACTAAAGTAAAAATTGTATTTAGTTTTAGAACTGTGGTAATCAATAGATAACTTGATACATATATATATGTTTTGTGTAGGATTTATTTTAATGTCCATGACTCGAGCATTTATCCTGTGAGCTCTATCAGCATATATCAGTTGCTCTTTCTTCCTAGAAGATGTTCATACCTGGAGATGTCCCAATTAGACAGGTGATAAAAATCACTTTCTGCTGTGAAGTTATTCAGTCTGACATGATGCTACTGCAGGCCAGACACATTATGTAAAATTCACTTTAATTGCCAAGCTGATTGACCTGGAATTGTTCTCTATGGCCAATGCCATGCCTTAAAAAAAACAAAAAAAAAAAAAAAAAAGGTATAATGCATAAGCAGGAAACAACAACAAACAGAGGAAAAGAAAATAAATAATAAAATATTTATTAAAGTCGAAAATCCATTTAGAATGTTCATTTACTTTGCAAGGGTAAATTAACAAAATAAAATGAAATAAGACAAATAAACAGCTGAAATATCAAGGTGATGTATATAAAGAACAAGGTTAAGTTAAATTCCAGTCAAATCAGCAATAAAACTATTTAGAAATGAAAATGTAACCAGAAAACAATATAACCAGAAATCAGAAATGCATTTGTTCCTACACTATGTGAATCATGATTGTTTTTTCTGTACATTCATTTTTTTACTCCATTACTGTTAATATCTTTATCTGTTTTTTTTTTAATGAACAAGATGCATGTAATTAGAAATATTACATATTCAATTTATTCACAGAGGGAGAAAAAAGGAATAACTGTAAAGGCCCTAATAATTTTTAACAACAGCAGTTTCATGATATGATACATGGCACTATATTATCACTACATATTTATGATGGCAGTACAACCTTTAATTTAGCCATTGCATGGCTGTAGGTGATTATCCAAATTTGGGTTTGGTTGACCTATGATGACCAGGCCAGACATGCAGTGAAACTGATTCAACCTACAGTTCTGATTCAGTTCCAGAAGACTGAGATAACACATTACGAAGTCTATCAGCCAGACGGAGAAATCTTTGTTTGTCTGGTTTCTTATCATGATCATAGTTTATCATCAAAATAGTTATGTTCATAGCTCTACAATAACAAAGAAAGGTGATTTAGTACAGTATGGGTACAGAGAGTACATATTGGATGGCTTTTGTCATGGACAACACAAGGGAGCCCATATGTTAGACAATGATAATCTTCTTTGTAGATAATTCCTGCCTTTTTTCTCTCCTCATGCTGTTTATTGACATGTAATCAACCATCCTACTTCAGAGTTTAGGATGTCTTCCATGTCTTAGTGTGATTGCCAAATTTTGTTGAGCCCTTTTTTATGGAACAATTCTTTATTACAGTAAGCTGTAAGGTGTGACTCTCGGTCCAGGGTCAGCTCTGTGTAACAGTTTTCTTAAAACAAAAGTCAGAAAATTGCTCTAAAATCAGACAATTATTTATTTATTTATGTTTTTACCTCAAAAATATGGGGTTTGTTATGACAAAAGTCCAGTATGCCAGTATTAGAAACTATACCTGGATCATTCTTTTGAGGGAATGGTTATTCATGCAATGATCACCTCACTTACTATAGACTACTGCAACTCTTTACTCTATGGCTATACCGAAGAACGATAAAAAAACTGCAGCAAGTTCAGAATATTTCATCATGTCTTTTAACCCGCACAGCCAGAGAGACACATATCACACCCATTTTAAAGCAGTGACACTGGCTCCCTGTTAGAGCATGCATTTTATTCAAATTCTAAGTTTTATGCATGCATTTTTTTACCAATCAGCACCCCCGAACCTACAAAAAACAATTCATCATTTTTCTTCAAAACGTAGTTTAAGATCACTTTCACCAGTTTTTAGCTCATGCCATCTATGCCAGATTGAGAACATACTACAACCTAGCTCTTCAGGTCTATGGACCAAATGAATGGAACAATCTCCCAATATACTTAAAAACTATAGAGTATAGAGTTATTGCTCAAAATGCATTTATATCTACAATGTGTGCAATTCTGGGCTTTTCTTTATCCGACGCACTGTACAAAAACTCGCAACTTACGTCTGCATATCGCATCAGGGGTTTGGTGCCAAATGTTATTCTGGTCTCGAATGAACGCGAGAATCCGCGTGACACCCTTACGTCATTGGCAACGGATGCCTTGACGACCGGGAAGAAAAGCATTGAAAGCTCTATTGACAAGTACAGATTTTAGTTTTACTACAATAACGGCTGTTTTAGTGGTAAAATGCAATAGAATATATTTCCATGCGTTGTTTACAATGTATTTCTTGCAGAATTTTGAATCTCAAAGCAAGAGTTATTATTGCTTTAACTACATGATTATTTATTGACTTAATTCATCTTATTCTGTTCATTTTACCCATGTTAAGTCTACTGAACATTTTATATGGATTTTAGACTATTAATTATTATTATTATTATTATATTGTTCCGAATGCACAGGGTTTAGTTTTCTGAAGGCTTTGCTTTAACGAAGGTTAGGTTTTCCAAAAAAGCATATTGGTGCATTAGTTGGGTAATTGTGGCAAGCACTGACCTTCATGTCAAAATAATGTATTTAAGGAAGCTCTCTCATATTTGCATTTTTTGAGATCTGCACAGATATCCTGCATAGGTAATTCCTTACGATAAAAACTAAGAATTTCCACCCTATTCCACTGGTCCCTTGTGAGAGGCTATAACTTCTGACTCCTTAGCTTCTTAATTGTGAGTTATACTACTACCTCATGATCAACTTCTGCTATCCATGGTCATCTGGCATCAGTTGAACTACTATATATGTTCTATATAAGCCAGAATTCTCAGTAAAAACATACACAAAATATCTCTATATTTTCATATGTGATCAAGTGGTCTTTTAAAAAATGGAAAAATCATTCTTAATCGAGATTTTAATGTATCAGTATTACAAGAATTAAAGTGAATCTATTTCCTTTTCTGATAATTCCAGATTTGTAAGTTATTATACACATGTGTTTTATCACCTTCTTCTCACATTATATGCCAGCAGTGCTATCTAAATAAAATCTACATGTAAGATGTTGTTGCATGCATGCATACCAATTGCTGCCTAATCACCACTTCATTGCCACCTTATTCTTCACACAATTTTTTGTCTTTCAATAAATGTCACTTCTCAACTGTCAGTTAAAGATTTAAAGATTTTGTACATCAAGCAGAGTTATCAGATAAAAAGTATTTGTAGTATTTCTTGAAATTTTGATGTTTCAGAAAAGCTATCACATTTTTAAAAACACTTTTATCTGTATCTCTGTGGTTATGCGGAATGGACCATAACTAGCACTGTAACAGTCTTTGTATTGTATTGAAGTAATATTACAGCAGAATTTATGCTTATTCTTTTATGTGTTATAGCACATTTGTACTATAACCTACTAATATGTTTTTCAGCTCAGAAATGTATTCCACTTTGCTGAAGGGCATCTGGCCTGCAACACAACCTAGGTCAGCTGGTCTAGAAGTTTGCTGTGCATGGTCTTGTTTCTAGTCGGGTTTGGTTGACTTGATCCAGCCCATCTTGAACCAGATGATTATGATTAGCTCACAACAAACAGCAAATCTAATCAATGTGTCTACCCTACCCCCACCTCCCAGGGTAACTGGAGTAGGCTAGATTGGTTTTTCTTGTTCAGCTTATCATGATCAGTGGGACAGCTGAGGTTGTGAGATGACAACTGGAAATACAGCTTCTAGAAACCAGACATTTTCAAAACCCACAATTCTGTTGCGTAGGAGATGTTGGTATTGAAGAACATTCCCAGTAAAAGAGCATAGAAGAACTGTGAAGCAGAGTTATTGGCTTCATGACCTCCTATATATTGATGGAAAAAAGCTTTTCTGTAATGAATTTGGCTGTCGCTCAAGTGATATTCTTTCAGGTCTAATAGCACTATTTTTATGCACAGATATTACTTTTCTGTATATACATTAGGATAAATGACCTGAAATGAAAAAGAATGGGAAAAGTTTAAAAACAATGCGTACAAGCAGTTACCAAAATTACACATGCCATTCAAAGTAGCTGCATGAAGCATGCTTAAACTAAAGATGGTTAGCTCCAAATATGAGATATTAACACAAGCATGACAGCCAATAAAACATATAGATAGAGAGCTTGGCAGTTGATGGATTTTCATTGTGTAAGAAATGGGATTGTGATCTTTTACTGCTGTATTAGAGTTGTAAGGCTGACAACTTGAAGGCATTGGACTTATTGAAGCTCTTGCTGCAGTTGACTTTTAGCTGTTTAATTCACTTCATTGTGGGTAAGCTGTGCCTAAGGGAAGCTTAAGAAAAAAAAAGTAATTGGTTCTAATAGGCTTCTTTAAGGGTAAGGCACCTGAGCCAAATCAATGTAAGAGCTTTGTTGTGTGGTAAGAAATAGGCTATACATAGACCATGTTGTGTAATGGCCAATGCTTTAGCAGGAAAAAACTGTAGAAGTGAAGAGTTGAATCTATATTTAATGGTGCATGAGATTCAGCAAGATTTAAGGCAGCATTTTCTGTGATTCAGGTGTCATGTTAGCAGGCATATGGACCATTTGCCTGAAATATGTTTGGTGTCAGTTTCCTAATAATGTAGAATGCAATATAGATTTTTGTAGTGAAGGTCTGAGATCTGAGTGGGATAATGTCTGATGTGTTGAAAATGTACAACTCTTTCACAAAGTTAGTGGTAGGTAAATTGATGGATGGTGAAATAAATTATTCATTCTTAATATGTTAATGAACATTGTTGTGGCAACCCGCTGTTTAACTTTGGTTTGAGTGCCTGGGTAGAGATATTTTATGGTCATGATCACCATTGTAAAGACAAAGAGCATTGAGTGAAGTATTAGTAGATGTAAAATGGGAAAATTAGATCATTGGTATGAATGATGCACACAACCCCTTGAAAACATCCTAAGTTTGGGTCACAAGTTTGAACGTGAAATCTTAATGAATAAAGCATCTCTTTGTCAGAATAAACTTTTTTATATTATATTATACAAAAATGATTAAATAAAAATTACAATTCTTATTTTCACCATCTTAGTTTGGTCTTGGCATACAGCATGCCAAAGAGCTAATTATTGTGTGCTTGCTCCAGGAGGTTCATCTATTTCTGTGGTTTTAATATTAATAAGGCTATTGCTTTAATTAGCATTTAGTAGACCTTAATGTCTGGATTAGTGATAAAGTTTCAAACAGTTCTTATATATTTCTCAAATTAAAATAAGATTTTCAATACACATTAAACTGACAAACACCACAAATGCACTCTTAGAATTTATCAGGCTACAATCGGTTTCAGATTTACAGCTAGTAAGAATCACAGATGAAAGGCCAGAGGCTTAGAATGATCTTCTAATCTTGTTATGAAACTAAACAAAAGAAGTTACAATCATCATGTTTATCACACTTCGAGTTCTACCTATGTGAAAACTATCTTGACTTTTAAAACCTGTGCACAGTGCTGATTCCTCTACACTTAGAATACACCAAACCTACTTTGAAATAAAATTACTGAGATAAAAAGGGAAGGGGCTCCTAGTGTTCTGACTTAGGTTAGATATATAACTTTCTGTTGTTGCATGAGTGTACTCTGAAATCACTGACAGTTATCACCATCTGCCACTGTACATACCCAGGTAATAAAGTCCTCCTATGTATGGCAGCATTCCCTGCCAAGTGCTGTATGGTTTTGTTGTTTTATGTTATTTCACATGAAATCAACATGAGAAGTGCTATCATTAACTTGATATTTGTAGTGCAATTTACCTCAAGCAAAGGTCATATCTTGTTTCAGATTCTGCTTTTGTTCTATTTAATGAGGACCATGGTCAAGGTGATCTGAGCATGATTACCTATTTGATTGGGATGGGGACAATAGGCTTTTATTTTTCCTCTGTTGTAATCAAGATTTGAAAACAACATATAACAAAATTAATACTGAAATGTTTGTTTCACATTTTAAGAACAATTGCAGAAAATGATAAAAATAGTGCCATATAAAACTAGATCATTTGATTCCTTGAATTGGTTTTTGGAGAGCTATATGTGGTTACCTTTCATGTATACAAATTAGAACCACTGACTAACTGACATGTTTCCTGTAATTTCAGGAGGCACCTAAGCCAGTTCATCATCACAAGATATTGGATGCTCACAATATTGAAAATGGCACAGGGCCGGCTAAAGATGAGGTTCAGGTTCAGACGAAGACACCTAGCACTGTGGTGGTTAAGTTTGGCTGGATCAAGGGAGTCCTGGTAAATAGTGCATTAGTGGTAGTTCTTGTGAGGTGGGGTGTTACGTAGTATACCCTGTATAAGTTCTGGGTATTATTTTGGCTAACTAGTGTATAGGGAGTTTTTAAAGGAAATCTTAAGTGGTTGATAAAGATTGGACAAAATTAAACGTTTCTGACAATTTCAGCTATTTAGTAAACTTGAATTGCACTATTGTATTTTAAGTAAAAAAAAAGACAGAGAAAATGATCCAGTATATCAAATATTCAATGTATGAGGTTAAAACGTGATTATTTTTCTTCTAGGTGCGATGTCTGCTCAACATTTGGGGTGTCATGTTGTTTTTGCGTTTGTCATGGGTTGTTGGACAAGCAGGAATTGGTCTGGGTGCCACCATTATTCTGCTGGCCACTGTTGTCACTGTTATTACATCACTCAGCATGTCTGCTATATGTACTAATGGTGAAGTCAAGGGAGGTAAGAAAATTTGTTTTAAAGGGTGCCTCTTGCATAACTGGTGTTGAATTTATAATTTTGAAATGATGACTTGAAAGGTATTTTTATGTATTCAGCAAAAGAGCTGTGTAGTAAACCTAGATAATGTACATATAAACTTCTTTTTGAATAATGTACATATAAACTTCTTTTAGCAGATGTATATTTATTAACATTTATTAACCTGGGCAATTGTTTGTAATTTGTTTCTTCATTGTTGATTCTTAGCATGTAGGATATTTGTAAATTTTCCAATTTTTTTACTTTAAGGTGGTGCCTACTACATGATATCTCGTAGTTTAGGTCCGGAGTTTGGAGGTGCTATTGGTATCATTTTCTCCATGGCCAATGCAGTGGCAGTAGCTATGTATGTGGTGGGGTTTGCTGAGACAGTACGGGATATCATGAAGGTGGGTTGGAAAACTAAGGTTGGCAATTGGCCACATTGGAGCCATTTTAAGTTGAAATTGGTGGCAAATATCTGTATATTCTTTGTCAAAGGGCTTTCTGAAATCTGTACCCTTAATATTTCATGAGCAGACAAGACATATTTAAAAGATTGGGTCAAATCATTAAAAACAAGGGTATTCCCAAGCATTAACACAGATACATGCAGACTGGTTTAGGTCCAAAATGAATTGGAACTGTCTTTGGTGATCTAATCATAATTAGAATAGTGGCTCTGGGGTTATTTAACCCAACCTGACTGGAAATTTGTTCTTTGACTCTTTATTAATTTATTCATTTTTTTTAACATAATAAACACTATTTTTTTTAGTTTAAGTGTAACAGATGATAAGAATTGTGTATTTTGTGTTCAGGAGTATGATGCATTGATGACAGATGAGATGAATGATGTAAGGATCATAGGCTGTATCACTATTGTACTGCTGCTGGGGGTGTCTATAGCTGGGATGGAATGGGAAGCCAAGGTGAGCAGAGGCTATTTCTTAAATAGATAAAGTCACATTATAAATAAGTGAAAACATAAGATTTGAAAGTATGCCTTAAACTGAAAAAAAAAATTATTGTTCATTCTAAAAATGAAAATACAACACTGCAACACTCCAACTCATATTTTTTATTTTAAAAAGCACCATATGACATCTTCCAGTCTTGGGAAACATGTTTCTCATTGTATTTCAGGCTCAACTTATTCTCCTTGCCATCTTGATTATTGCCATGGTAAATTTCACTGTTGGTACTTTTATTCCTCCTAGCATGGAGGAGCAGAGTCAGGGATTCCTGGGATATCAAGGTAGATTAATAATAATAATAATAATAATAATAATAATAATAATAATAATAATAATAATAAATTATTATTATTATTATTATTATTATTATTATTATTATTATTATTATAATGTTGAAGTCACACATGAGCATTTGTTATGGTAAATAGTTAGGGATGAGCTTGAGTGTCAACAAGACTACTCAAATCTGAAGAATTTTGTGTAGAATTCTTGCAGTGTTTAGCAATATGGTCAACTTCAATATTTTGAAGTTCCATGCACCTTATCTCAATTCCTATTTTTTTTCAACTGGGCATCAGTGTCTTTATTATTATTATTATTATTATTATTATTATTATGACAGTTTTAATTTGTTAGGTATTGAATTTACATTGAATTTGCAGGATATGATAAAAACTAATTTTGAACAATACATCGTAAAAATTAAAAGAATGTTGCAACAATGGGAAAGGAGACCTTTGACGCCCATTGGCAAAATCACTGTACTGAAAACCCTGGTTGCACCCATGTTAAACCACCTATTCATTTCCCTTCCCAATCCAGATGAAACATACATGAAATTACTAAACACAATGTTCTTTCAATTTATATGGGGCAAAAAGACGGAAAAAGTGAAAAGGAGTGTAATGACTGGTAATTATGAACAAGGTGGTCTTAAGATGCTAGATTTATTTGACTTTATTGCTTCTCTTAAATGTACTTGGATTAGAAGAATTTATCAGACAGACAACATATATGTTCCACTTCTCCAAGCTATTTTTGATCGAGATGTAATAAGTTATATATTTACTTTTGGGAATGCGTATCTAGACAAGCTTATTAAGGATTGTAGTAACTGTTTTTGGAAAGATGTTCTGGTTTCCTGGAAATTAGTGTTAACACGCTTACTAGAAAGAAAAAGTATATCTGTGGAGCCGATTTAGTATAATGATAATTTTAAGATTGGGGGCAAGCCTGTGTTTATAAGAAAATGGTTTAATAAAGGCGTCAAAATTGTTAGCGATTTTCTTGAAAATAACAGAATTTTAACAAAGGAAGAATTTGAACAAAAATTTAGCCTACAAAACTGTTGTGCGCTTACATTTTATGGTATACGAAATTCTATTAAGCACATGCTTATGAATAAAACGCATAACGATGTTCTTGAGATCACCACTCACCCTTTTTTGCCTCAAGCAATAGAGCTTCTTATCAAACATACCGTAGTAAAGGCTGTAGAGACTTTTATCAAACTCTCTACAAGCCAGCTACACGAATGACAAATGAAAAAAAATGGAACGCAAAGTCAAATTTTGATGTACATTGGAAAGATGTCTATAAGAACTGTTTCGAAACAACAAAGAACACCAAACTGCAGTGGTTCCAATACCGCATAATACATAGGCTCCTGCCTGTTAAATCATATTTAAAAACTATAGGGATTGAAAACGATGACGTCTGTTCTCTTTGTGGTGTTGCAAGGGAAGACATTTCGCATACTTTCTTCCAATGCGCGTATAATAAAAAAATTTGGGAAGAACTGAAAGCTTACATCTTTAACAGAACGAATAAAAACATTACCTTTAATGAAAAATGCATCCTTTTCGGCTATCCAACAAACCCAAACAGCCCAATTAATTTTGTTATTCTTTGTACGAAATTTTATATTTACAAAAGTTTCAAAAAGAAAGAATGTATGCGTCTTTCTTCACTCATAAATTACATAAAGGATCAATTTATAATAGAAAAATTCAATGCATTAAAAAAGCTAAATTTAACAAACTTTGAAAAAAAATGGGAAAATTGGTCAGACATGTTTGAATTTAATTAGCTTCAGCAAACTAATATTTTGCACTTTTTGCTTGTTTAATAATATGTTGTAGTTATGGATGAATACATTGTGGTATCGATCTTTATTATTATTATTATTATTATTACACCTATTGTTCATGAGCTTATATTCGTGTGTGTGAGAGAGAGAGAGTGTGTGTAAGAGAGAGAGTGAGTGTGCAGTGTGCATTTACCATACTTGGGTATATGTACTTTCTTATACTGAAATTTTTCAATAAAAAAAAAAAATATATTATTATTATTATTATTATTATTATTATTATTATTATCCCATCTTTCTGTTATATTCCAAAACAAATGCCAGGCCATCTGTTCATTTAGCAAATATGTATATACACAATCCCATATTGAAACAATCAGATTAATGGTCAACAATATGTGGAATATGTAATGATATTTATATTTTTTCTGTTTTCAGGCAGAATCTTTGAAACAAACTTTGGCCCAGATTTCCGTGATGGAGAAGGCTTCTTTTCTGTATTCAGCATATTCTTCCCAGCTGCCACTGGGATCCTGGCTGGTGCTAATATTTCTGGAGATTTGGCTGTAAGTTAGTTTTCACCAATTGTCCATGCTGAACACACTTAAGGTCACCATGTTATAGGTGTGTGTGTGTGTATTCTCCACATACTTTTCTTGAAGTTGCCACTCAGAACATGCATCTGTCTCCTTTTCATCACTGTATCTTCCAATTTCCAGGATCCCCAGCGTGCAATCCCCAAGGGCACTCTCCTTGCTATAATCATTACCACCATCAGTTACATCTGCTTTGCTGTCATGGTAGGCTCCTGTGTGGTACGGGATGCCACAGGATGTGTGATGGATGCGGAGATGTTTTCTCACAATTCCTCTAACTGTTCACAAGTTGCATTCGAATATGGACTACTGAATAACTTCCAGGTAATAAGAATATATCCTGGTACTAGTATAAAACTGATGTAATTTTTGAATGGAAGACAGTAGGTATAAAAAAAATGATTCATCACAGTTAAAGGGATATAAGAACCAATGATTTTAATCATGCTTTAGATATGGTAAATAAATTGAAAATTTACCAAGAGAGAGCTTTTAATCTGCCAGGCAGAATGTTATCAGTTAGTTGATTTTCTTTGAGTGTACACTGTTTTTTTTTTGCAGGTGATGGAACTGGTCTCTGGATTTGGCCCTCTAATCTATGCAGGAATATTTGCTGCCACTCTGTCCAGTGCTCTGGCCTCTTTGGTCTCGGCACCAAAGGTTTTTCAGGTAGATTCAACATCAAAATAAAATTATTCAGCAACTTGTTTCTTTTATTTCACTTCAGTTGATCAATTACTTCTTTTTTGCCATTCTATTGACAGCAAATATGCAAAATAATAAGAAAAATTGTAGATATTGTCTGTAAAAAATGACAAAGAGAAAAATACAGTTTACAATTAAATTGTCTTTGCTAGATTAAAAAAAAAGTATTTGTCAAGACTTTTGCAGTGTCATAGACAACATGATTCAAGTTATACTGAAATACCAAAAGGTTAAATTCTCTTTCTTTGCTCCAGGCTGTTTGTAAAGACAAAATTTTCCCAAAGATTCACATATTTGCCAAAGGGTACGGTAGAACTGGAGAAGAACCTTGGAGAGCATATATTTTGACCTTCATCATTGCTACTGGGTTTATTCTCATAGGTAAGTAAAAGATATATCTTCATATATTTTTTCATTGTTAGGTTAAAAATTGTGGGGGCAGAAAAGGCTCCTTGTCATTGGTTTATACTTCAAACTGCACCCTTGTTATGTAATGTGGATTTGGGGCATTAGGATAAGTAAGGGCCTTATCAGAGATTTAAGACTCACTTAAAGGACAAGTACTATTAACGTTTCATAAAGATTAGATTTCAAGATTTCCTGTTTCCATTTTAGGAGAGCTGAATGCTATTGCACCCTTGATCAGTAACTTTTTTCTTATGGCGTATGCACTCATCAATTATTCTTGTTTTGATGCCTCCCTTTCCAAATCACCAGGTAAATACTAATGAGCTCATTATACAGTTTTATTTTGCAATATTCTAAAATTGTCATCTGGTAATTTACTAAACACAGAATGGTTGCATTCATAATTTTTGTAAATGATGTGTATTATTGTCTTCAACAAAAAATTTGAAAACCTTACAACAACATCAATACTCTGCATTTTTTTTTTTTTTTTTTTTGTGGGGGGGGGGGGGGGGGGGGGCATTTTTCTTTGGAATGCTCCATTTGTTTTAGATAGGATTCATGCTTTGATATTGAACAAACCCCTTCAGGTTGGCGCCCTGCCTTCAAGTATTACTCCCAATGGGTTTCCCTGGCTGGAGCCATGCTTTGCCTTGTAGTCATGTTCATCATTAACTGGTGGGCTGCCTTGGTCACCTTTGTCTGTGTGACTGCCTTGTATGTCTATGTGCACTACAGTAAGCCAGGTAGGTGGTGGTAAATATAGTACTATATAAGTTTTCCCCATTTTTTTGTGACAATCATTTATGGTGTTTAAGATGTGATATTAAAAAAGTCTGATCATATAAGTATTGCATTTACCCATTTCAGAACTAGTTTTGTGATTCAATATATATAGCACTTTGTTTACTTGAAAACTATTGGTGGTGCTAGCATTGATATAATCTTGTTTATGGACGTATGTTGTAGATGTTAATTGGGGCTCCTCCACCCAGGCCCATGCCTACAGGAACGCTCTTCAGCAGACTTTAAAACTAATCTCAGTAGAAGAACATGTCAAGAATTTTAGGTAAAATTTGCAGTCTTTTTAATTTTTGTGAAAAAAGAAGAAACAGCCTGAACAGATGTGCCTTAAAAATAGATTCTTCACTAAGTGTTCATTTGATTAGTCTTTGAATTTAAAACAAAAAGATTGTAGGTTTAGAGACTGTTACAGATTTTTGTTATATAAATAGAGGAATATACTTTCTGATGTCCTTTTTTGGGTGATCAGTATTTCTTATTTATATTTCAGACCACAGTTACTTGTGCTAAGTGGGCTTCCCATGACCAGGCCTAGTTTGATTGATTTTGCTTCTGACATAACCAAAGGAATTGGACTCATGGTGTGTGGACACTATATAAAGGTATGGGACCTTTATATACATTTCATGAACAAACATCCATATTTCAGAGACAAACATTTAAGAAAAAAATTCAGTAGTCAAATGATGTCAAAGGTTCAGTCCAGTTCTTTTAAAGATATCGTTATGTATACTTAATGACTTCATGTTAAGGTATGGGTCCTGAAAGCACATTTTGTGGTTATAAAAAAATGATTTTGAATGGTTTGGCCTAATTATTTTTAGTTGTTTTAATACATACTTGAAGATGAATATGACAAATTCTAGTGACTAAATTGTGATACAGTTATATTGTCATTCACTAGGGTGATGTTAGTCAGGTTAGCAATATCAAGACAGCAGCTGTTCATAACTGGCTACACAAAAGGAAAGCAAAAGCATTTTACAACTTTGTTGCAGCTAGTGATTTTAGAACTGGCATTCAGTCACTACTAGAGGTAAGGAGATAAATAATATGTTACAAATAATACAATATGTTGCCTTATTAGCTTCAGCTCTGAATAACTGTGTACATTGTCGTAGTTTTGGGGAGAAGTTGAAAAAGCTATGGGCTTGGCTTTCAAAATGAAATATTGTTGATAAATCTAATTTAGACTTATTGTCTTGGAAGTCATTTAAAATCTCAACACCACTTGTTATGGAATCTAATGTTGATCTTATTTTCTTTCAGGTTACAGGGTTAGGGAAGTTAAAACCAAACACTGTGCTCATGGGCTTCAAGTCCAACTGGCAAACAGATAAACCTGAAAATGTGGAAGAATACCTTCACATCATACAGTAAGTAAAGAAAAAACAAACAAGCAAACAAACACAAACAAACGGAAAAGTTCTACACTCTGTTTTAATTGTACCACCAGCGTAGGCGCTGGCAGTACCCATGGTTTTTAGTCCCGACTTGCCTGTTCCGCCGGCTCCGCTGCCATGTCACCGTTACCGCTTCTCCTAGACTACCAGGGCCTGTGTACCCATCTCTTGTTTTGTAATAAATTCAGCTTAAGCACAAGTAAAATTGACTTAGAATGATTTGATACCATCAGTTTTTTTAATAGTAATATGAATTGTATGGCATTTTGTAAATTTCATATATATATGATTAGCACAGTTTAATATTTTTTTTCCAGCGACACTCTAGACCTGCGCTATGGTGTAGGTATTCTCAGAGTGAAGGAAGGGTTTGACTTCTCTGAGAGCATGGTGATAGAACCAGTAATAGAGGAAGGTAAGGCTCTTGTCACTTATTTTCAGAGGGATTTATGCCTATTTATTGTGGATAATTATTAAGGGTATTTGAAACAATACTTCTAACTGATTTTAATATTTAGAAAAGTACCAAATGATATATAAAGAGATCTGATTTATAGCTGGACATATGCTTGTTACTGATCTGATCTTTTAAAGGAAAATGTATAGATTTTGTTTGGTTAAAATTTTATAGATGAAAACTAACCAATCATTTTGCCCCCACATTTTGTAGCATTTGAGTATTATATTTTTCATGTTGCCTTGTTATTTGTACATTTTTGTCCTCAAGTAATGTACAGTTGTACTTGACTAACACATATTTTACTTTTGATATTATTTTTACATTAACACTTATAACCCCATGCTTTATTTGTTAATTAAAACGCATAATTATTTAAGTAAAGGGCCTACAGTATTGTGAAACAAAAAGACATGTTCATGTTTGTTTTTAAAGCAATCATGACAGCAGAAGTTGAGAGATTTCTGGAAGGTATTTGTCTAGGAAAAAAGAAACGGGGTACATACTGCGTCTTCTGTGGTGTTGGGTTATTCTGCATTCTTCACATTTTACGTTTTTGTCAAAAATTTACCAAAATCTTGGCTCTGATTTTTTACAGCTGTTGGATGGTTTTATTATCATTTTGTGTGATATTAAAACAGACCTGTTCTGAAAAATGTGGTTAAACTCCTCCATTGCAAAACATGTATATGTAAGCCCTTTATATGCTTACAGTTTTTATAGCACAAGATTATCATATCACTTACCTCTAAAATGCTAAGAAAGTATTTCATGATAACTTTTGATAACTCTTGTAAATGTTATACAGTGTGTGAAGATTGGTTTGAGCCTTTCATTGATGTTGAAGTGAATTTGATATGTTTTAATCTTTTAAAGAGTAATTTCATATACATGTAATATATATAAAGGTATTGATTTTATTGTTTTTTTTTTTTTGTTTTGTACTTTTTGTTGAGTTGATATCTCTTTTGGTTTTGTGCTGCACAGACCCACATCTGAGGGAGTTTAGTTCCTACTCTATTAATGTTACCTATGGCTATAGGAAAGAGAAATTGGCAGGTTGGGTGCTGTTCTTTACATGTTATGTGGATGTAACCTTTGGTGTTCTCTGTTGTAACAGGCTACTTGGGTGTCTGCTTTTTCTATTCATGGCTGATAGTGTATTTGAATGCTAGTAAGTAAAACTATACCATTAACTATACCACAGCTCTGGTAGTGGTATATGTACTGGCCAGGGGTAAAGTTCGTGACTTTTTCTCAAGACTCCATTCTTATATCATTATATGGTAATTGTGGAAAGACTTGTATTTTCAGTACATTTGACAATATCAAAATTTTATATCACATATATGCAAGACTGCCAAGTAAATGCAGTTATCACTTTACTCGTGTTCTGATATTTTGTTGCAACCACATATCCAATATAATATTGTGCTAAACCCAACCCTGCATAGTTTAATGGATGTGGCAGTAGTACATGTTGACAATTTATCCCATCGCATAAGAGGGCGTCAAACTAAAACTTCATATGCTTGATCTCCATGAAGTACTTATGTCTTATATAACATTAAAAAATTGTTTCAAAATTTATCAATTTTGTTGTACACTAGAATAATATATTTCCAAATTCAATAGTGTAAAATTGGTAGTAATAGATTTCCAGCACTAGTTTTTCATGTAGAACTTACTCAGCTTATTGGGAAATAAGATGTCTATAGATAGTTATAGAAGATCGATCTTATTTAGTGTAAGTGCAAAAAGTATTTTTATTTTTTACTGACCAAATTTAACACTGGATCTCAATGGTTATTGCCCTGGCTTAAAATCTTTTCCCCCAGAACTGCTAATGCTTTATGTCAATTGCATTTTAATGTGTTACTACAAGTGTTCCTCATAAAAACTACGCTTTAATTTATTATGCATAGAAAACAATATGCAAAAAGTAATTCTTACTATTTTGAGTTTAATTTTACAAGGTCTGGTGGTCTTTCCTGCTGACACACATAAACAATATATTCCAAGTCCTTTGAACTGAGAGAATTCACATTTAACTGGTCTAACTGGAAAAATCAATGACCTTAGGCTTGTGCTTATTCCTTACACTGGATGCTTTTCATGTTGATTCTGTTTTAATGTTATGATGCAAAAATATAGGTAATTGTTTTTGGCTATGATCATTAATGCTTCAGAGCTTGAAATCCATTTTCGCTACGAGTAGAAGGAGATATGGCAGTTTAATTGGCATGCATGGTTCCCAACATCGTTGATCTTGCATTGCTTAGATGGTATAAGCAATAGTCTCCTTTAAAAACACTGAATAATGGACTTATAATGTTTAGATTATGCAGAAATACTCATGGTTGGAAGCCCAGTGTTACTTGTACTTTTCTTCCTGTATTGCAGTGTATGTTTTGTGCATCCTTCTCTGGGTAGTCAGATATCAGCCTACCCCAAGTACCCTCATCAACCTCACCACTTAATCTTTTAATTATTCTAAACCCTGCAAACCTAATTAAAATATGAACCAGTGCAACAGTATACTATAATTTGATTTACTATTCCTTCTATATAGTGCTTTAGTATATACAGGTGATTGTAATATGTTTATAAAGATATGATTATTGGTAAGTGCCAGCACTTTGTTTCCTGGTAAAAAGGATGAGCATGTAGGACTGATGGTATGCTAGTTTATTGAGGAATGAGATGACAGCTAGTTTTGTGGGTTCTTGACACTTATTCACTCTAGCACTGCATTGGGAATTTAAGTCAGGAATGACAAGCACGTATTGTTGGCATCTCTAGAAGGTGTCGGATTTATGAGTAAAGGGATAATGCTTGTCTTGGAAAGTAAAGAGTTGCCTTCTTGGTTCAGATCATCATAAATAAATGTGGAATAAGATAATACTCTAACCTGATCATCAACTTTGCTGTCTACCTAATTTTGCTCTGGGTACTTCAGTTGCCTTACATATCTCCACTTTTTCATAACGTGAGTAGAAGTTTCATTATTTGTCACAGTAAAATCAATTTAAAGAAACATAAGCTTTTCTTTTGAAAGTCTACTTTGCAGATCATCTAGAGGTATCATTTGTACAAAGTCTAAAATCAGGTCAAATGTTACTACATATATTTCATAGTTAAGTTTTATGTTTCAGAGCCAAGGAATGAAGAGCAGGAGGCGCTGTTGATGAGGAGAGCTCCTAGTGTAGTGATGGCAGCCCAGATGTCAGCTTACAGTGAGGAGGACATCCCTCATGGTCAGCTCACTGCCGCCAGCTCTATAGGCAGCATGACCATGCTAGAAGACCTGAAGAGTAATAAAATTCAGATTGATGTAGGCGGTCCATCAAGTGATGAAGATGAGGAAGATGATGAGGTTGAAGAGGCTGGAATGTCAGAGACAGAGATAGAAAAAGAGGAAGCGGACATAGAAAAGGGGAAAGAAGTAGAGAAAGAATCAAAGGACAAAAATGAGAATAGTATATCTAGATCTGGAAGTAGGAAAAGTAAAAATAAGAAAGGAATATTGTCTAATATCAACAGGGATATCTTGCAGGCAGTGAATCGTTTCCAGAGGAAACAGAAAAAAGGGACCATTGATGTGTGGTGGCTTTTTGATGATGGAGGTAATTCAAAATGACAAGCCAAAAGTAGTATAATATAAATATACTGATAATATAAATAACACTGGTTATGTTATTAAAACATAGTTTTACATAAGATGATTAAATATTTTCATAAGAAAAAAGTCTTCATGGTGTTTTGAAATTGTATTAAGCCTAGTTTAGTGGATATGTAATTGTGTGTGATATCTTGAGTACCTTTTGAAGTATTGTTGTTACATAATCAGCTTGTCAACTACTTTTCACTACTAGACTACTAGTTTTACTAGTTTTCACTACTAGTATTTGTCACCCATCACTTTAGTGCTCTCTACTTGATGACTTATCAACAGGCTATCACCCAGGCTATCTAAATGACCGTTGAGTGTAGAAAAATGAGACAACTTATAATTGCCAACCAGAGTATTTGCTTTCAACTACGATTGATTTTTTCTTATCTACCAGTCCTTTCCTTATCTAATTGTAGGTCTGACCATGTTGATCCCATACATTCTGTCCACCAAGTCACACTGGTCAAATTGCGATCTCCGTGTCTTTACTGCTGGAACTAAAAAGAAGGAACTTGACAGGGATCAGAAAAAGTATGACCAATTTATTAAAAAGTGTTGCATCATTAACAATACATTTAGAGAACTCAAAGTAAATTTGCTGACTTTCATATTTATTTTATTTCATTTTTTAACATGAAAAAGTTTTCAGATTACATGCTTTAATGTCAATGCTTTGCTTTGATAATATAGCTGTTGACACATCTGTCTTTTCTATTTCAGCATGGCAACATTGTTAAGTAAATTTAGGATAGACTACTCAAAAATGACAGTTATCCCAGACATTGGAAAGAAGCCAAAAGAGGAAAGGTAATATGTTGGTGTTTTTATGAGAATCCCCTTACTTATTTTTTTAAGTAGTGTAAGACATGAATGTTTTTATGGTCAAAAATGTGAATTGTACTTCATAGTATTATACTATCAATTATCAGTGGGATTTTAGGTAGACTGAATATTGAATGACATAGATGGACAATTAGTGGTGACAAGTAACCCCCCCCCCCCCCCCCCCCCCCNTTTACAGCTTGTCAAGCACAAGACTGGTGGCTGTGTTCCTTATTTTGTATATGTGGGGGTCTATATGAATGCGCTTGCTCCAGCTGGTGGTACAATATTCGGAGGCGGTATCGCCTCTCTGATCCTCTAGTTTTTTTAAGTAGTGGAAGACATGAATGTTTTTATGGTCAAAAATGTGAATTGTACTTTATAGTATTATACTATCAATTATCAAAGTGGGATTTAGGTAGACTGAATATTGAATGACATAGATGGGCAATTAGTGGTGACAAGTACTAAATACAGTGGGTTTTGATGGTGCTTTTACTCCCCCCCCCCCAAATATAACCAGTGTCATCTTTGATTTGTTAGATATTTATCACTTTTTAATATATATGTATGTTTACGTATCTGTTTAAAAAAGTGATTTAAAGACTTTTCAAGAAGATTTCCAAATTTCTTTTGGAAAATACAAAATTAATTATCATTTCCCATCAGTACCCTTTGTATGCGATCTAAAAACTGATCATGTTAAAATGTTTTTTAAATGATATGTCAGTAAAATTAAGCACACTCACCTGAAGTTCTCTTTACTTTCAGAAAAAAATCCCCCTATGCATCTTGTTTAATGTGTAAGAAATGGAATGTAGCAAATAATAATAATATGTATTTTGTTTTCTGTTTTGAAGTATTGCCCAGTTTAAAACCTTGATCAAACCCTGGGTCCTGGATGAAGAAGCTGGGGAGACGGAAGAAATGTTCCCCTGGAAAATATCTGAAGCAGAGATGCTGGCAAATAAAGACAAGGTTAGTAGACAAGGCAAAGAGATTATGTATATATACCTGTCTTTTATCATATACTTGAGGAGTATGTATAGAAATTATTACATAAAATCTTAGTGAAATAAGGTAACAGATTATTATAATACAGTAACAATAATACAGTAACAGGTTAAAATATCTTTTTCATTAATTTTTTATGCCTTAAAATAAGTGCTTCCCTGTCCTTGTGTACTTAATGCTGTTCATTCATTTTAATGACCGTTTTTAGAACTATCGCCACATTCGCCTGCGAGAGCTGTTAATGGAACACTCCCATAGTGAGGCATCCCTGATCGTCATGTAAGATCATCTCTGTTAATGTCACATTTTATATTTCAAATATGACCATTTTATTCATTTTATTACCTATTTCAATTTTATTTTTAAAAAATCATCTCTGAGTCTATGCTCATTTTGTTTTTGTATTCTTTATATTATTTTGTTTTTTTTGTACTTAAACTGCACTTTATTCAATGGATGCATTTATTAGAATGGGTAATTTATTTTCTATGCTGCTTAAGATTAATTAAATCCTACTGTATTTTGATAAATAATTCTAAAAAGCACCGATTCCCCCTCTTTACAGTCTTGCACATCCTTTCAGTCACTGCAATAAATTTAGCATCACTCTTAAAAGGGTCTTAAAATGTGGCCTTTATTTGCCTATTTGCATCTTATGAACATTTTATCTCTGTGTCTAAATATACAATGTCTACTATAACACTTAGATGGGTATTCATTTCTCTCCTTTTCTATTCTCAGGACTCTCCCCATGCCACGCAAAGGTACCTGTGGGGCAGGGCTGTACATGGCCTGGCTAGAGACTCTGACCAAAGACATGCCGCCCATACTGCTGCTGAGAGGAAACCAGACCAGTGTATTAACATATTACAGTTAAATGGCAGGAGATGCCTTCTTAGTCTTTTTATGTACAGACACAGATGTGTCTGTACATATTGCCATCACCTGCGTCTGTCGTCGCCGTCGTCGCCGATGCCGATGGCGATGGCGATGCCGATGGCGATGGCGATGCCGTCGCCGTGCACTTTCATTGTAAACACGATAAGTGGAAGGCAGTTTTAGTTTTTGGCTTTATATTTACAGAGCTGATAAATATTCATAAAACGCAGGTCAAGTTCGAAAATCAGCATGATCAGGCCATTATTGTAGAAGTTATGCTGTTTTTTCACTTTTCAGCATATATGAAACACTGTAAACACAATATAAGAAAAACAGATTGGCCGATTGTCATGAAACTCATAGGAGTGATCAATCCTGCTAAAACGCAGGTTGAGTTCGAAAAATCAGCATAATCTGGGCATTATTTTAGAAGTTATGCTGTTTTTTCACATTTCCTCAGATTCAACTCTTAGGCATGTTAACAGTCTCATTATTGAACTAATAAGATACGTAAAAGTGTTTGTTTGACATTTCCTGCATCTTTACAACATTGTTAGTTGATTATGTAAAAATGATGGTAAACTTGTTATCGTGTATTGTGTAATAAAGTGTCAAAAATGGAAATAAACTCATATCATTGCAGTTTGTCAGATTCAATCATTCACTATGTTCAGAATCTCAGAATGGAAGAGATTGGACATTTAACACTGCTCTGTTGATATTTTTCCCATCTCATCAATTTTCTTAGTTGATCATATAAAAACGGCAGAAAACTGTTAATTTTGTTTTATGTTAAAAATTGTTAAAAATGGAAAAAAAAAACATTTCAGAACAGTGCTGTCTTGTTTACATTTTGGCATTTTCAAGTTGTGACTTTGAAGTTCCATGGGCCTGAAGACCTTTGCTAGTCACATTTTCTGAATATCCATAATACTAATATTTTATTATTAAAATTGATGGTCATTATGCTGTTAAACATTATGTAATATTGCATCAAAATTTGAAAAAAAAAACTATTTTGGGCACTGCTCCCATGATGACCATTTAAGAAAAACCATGTCATTTACTGTTCTCAAACTTACAGGAAAGAAACATGGGACTAAAATACAGCTTCAGTAGACAATGCAGTCTGTTTGATAATTCTTTCTGCTAGTTAAACAGTTTTTTTGTGAAAATTAAATTTTTCACATATTGGCATTTTCAAGGTGTGACTTTGAAGTTCCACGGGCTTGAAGACCCATGCTAGTCACATTTTCTGAAAATCCATGAAACGTATATTTTATTATTAAAAATTGACGGTCATTATGCTGTTAACCATTATGTAATATGGCATCAGAATAGAAGAAAACACAATTTTGGGTGCTGCTGCCATGATGACCATTATGGGAAAACCATGTTACTTATGATTGCCAAACTTTCAAAAAAGAAATACAGGACTAAAATGCAGCCTGAGTTGGAAAAGCAGTCTAATTGGCTTCTTTTTCTGGAAGTTATACATTTTCAAAGTGTGAACTTGTTACACATTTTACTTACATTGGTATTACCTGTTGAGCATAATTAAAATTTGATGTTGAATTTGCAGTTTAACATAATGTTCTTTTGCATCAGAATTGACAGTAGCCTATTTAGTGCATAGTTATTTCCTGTTTTTAGTCTGTACATTTGACAGCTTTGCTGCCTTGTTATTAGTAGGGGTGTAAAGCTTGCAAATATTAATAATTGAGTTATAGTATGAATATCTAAGGTACTTATGTATGAAAGCTTGGTAGGGGTCAATGTGGAATATGATCTAGTGAACAGTGCAATCAAGTTTTACATTATTTGGAGTATACAGGATATTTGAAAATCAAACAGTTGCTCTTACACACGACTGTGTGTGGGACTTCTTTTAACTTAGGGAGTGGTTAATACATCGACAGTAGTTCAAGCAAGCAATTAGGGGAAAATGTTTCTAAGAACAAATATATGAAATGAGAGTGTTAATGGTACAGTGCTTAGTAAGTGAACATGCCAACATGCAAACTAGAAAAGTGGAAGCAGTGTAAGAGGCACAAGGTATAGAAACTAGTAAAACATGCATAAGACTCTAACTATATTAACATTTCTCTTCACTTTGTGTCAGTTATATACATTTAAATATATTAAGTTGCAATATTTTTATTATATTTTTTTTGAAAGCACAGATATACCTCTGGCACATTTACATGACATTATACACAGGTGCAAGAAAATATCCCAGTCTTAATATATATCCAGCATAATCTTTGCCCTTCAACTTGTAATGGTTGGTATATACATACTTAGTATGTACATATACAGGGACACAAATTTACTCAGTGTATTTATTCATTGGAACCATGACATGGTGAGAAGCATTTATTTTAAAAATGGGACTTCAGCTCTTCATGTTTAAATATAATAGCACTTTTATTTATTTAACAAGAATTATTTATAGTTCAATATATTATATAAAAATAGCTAATTAATCTGTTAATTTTGTGTGATAGACCAATAATATATGGCACTAAATTATGATATTGGTGATGGTTGTATATAACAATATAACAACTTTAGTAATCTCACAACCGTGCTAGAGAGTGCTTTTGGTTTATCAAAAGGGCAACTGTAGAAAAATCAAAAAGATAAAGGAATAAGGAAATAAGATATTGTACAAGTTGGACAAAAAGTTTAGTCAGTATGACAACCTAAGTGTGGTTTTCCCTTGATGCATTTGAGCATTTGAAATCCTGCGTCTATTTGTTAAGTCTAGCTTAAAGCAGAGTGCAAAATGAGATGTTTGGATGTTTAAGCAAGGAGGTGTATATACATCCCCTTGGTTTAAGTAAGAGTACTTTAGTGATTGATCTCAACAGTGTACATCTTTAGTAATGTGATTTGTCTTTAATGTTTATTTCTTAGGCCATGACTTTGTCATTACAATTGCAGAAACAGCAAATTCATCCAACCCATTTTAATATAAAACTGCCTTAGTCCAGCTCAGTAAAGCTGCTGACTGGTATGTTAGTTCTACCTCTGGTGAATGAATGAAATACCCAAAACTGTTGTTCAGTGTATTGGCACTTTGAGAAAATCAATCAGTTTAAGCCATATTTCATTGCTGTTCTTTTCTTTTATCAGTTTACTTCACAAATTAATTACTAATAGTCAAAAGTCTTAATGCATGGAAATTCATTTATTTTTTCAAAATAGAAACACAAATATAACATTGAAACATTAGTTCAATGTGCCTTATTTAAGCAGGAGTGTTATTTCCTAGATATATATAATTATTAAGTGCCTATTATTCAGCATTTATCAGCCTGTAAGTAATATGAGTTGTTTTTTACGATGTTCTCTCTAAAAATTATTTTATAATGAATTAAGAAAGCAATGTTTCATATACCTATAGGATGACCTTGGTTCAAAAGAGGATCATGACCACAAACAAATGCCTTGTTAGGATTTAGTCCAGTTTTTATCATTTGTTGGTTAGTAAAGATGTTACTTCAATTATATAATTGGTTATTGGTATAAAGTGGAAATATAAAATTTCATCTTTGCTTTGTTATATGAAATATGACAACTTAAAAAAATGTAAATCTTTAATAGCAGCATAAAGGATAGTTAGTTTTGTTTTAAAAGTTACTGTAGTCTGAATTCCAAGAAATACTTTTTAGTAAATGGATCCTAGAGAAGTATTTAGATATTGTTTTTGAGATTAATCTTTATCTCCACCTTAGGTTTATTGGCTATGTAAGAAATTGATCAATGGGTTTGATGAGAATAATTTAAAATGGTTTTGTCCATTTTTATTTTATACTACCTCTCATGATGTTAATTGTCAGAAAAAAGATAACAGAAAAAAACTGTCTGCATTTAGTGTTTAAGCAACTTGTTTTGTGTATCTCAATTGGCATTTAGGGGCATTTATAAATGTTTTTTTTTTTTTTTTTTGTTATATTTATGTTATAAGGTATTAGATCAATTGATACTATTTATTGCAACTTTTGAATTTGCACTACGCTTTTGCCAAAATTGAACCAAAATTGCCAATACATTTTATGATACTTTGTTACTTGTAAGAAGGTGCCACAAACATTTTTCAGTAAAGTTTTGCCTCCAACATGAACTCTTTTTCTGCCATTGTCATTTTAATGGAAGTTTGAGAAGATGGTTTTTTAAAATACTTTTTCTACTCTGCTAATTATTTGAGAATCATTATTTTGCTTATATCCAAATTTATTAGAATTTACATGGAATTACCAGGTGACATCTCTAAATGAGACTTGAAATTTTGTTTGACAAGGATGAATAAAAGGCGTTTAAACATTTCTCTTTCCCTGTTGTCAAATGCCGGTACATGTACCTGTATAAGGAACTTCAAAGGTGTCAGTTTATTAGTACACTTGCATGGCTGCCAAGTGTGCTGGATTATGAGGTTCATTTATCTCCTAATTTTGATCTAGTGAATGTGGAAAAAGAATTCTGTGTTATTGATAGAACACTAGAAGTCGGAGAGTTTAATTTAAAAAGAAAATTCCATGCTCCTTGCAACACTCCCCATGCACACGCAGAACTGGGGCTGTAGCAATAGTCCGAAGGTTCAACAGTCTGAAGGTTCATTGGTCCGATTGTTCACTATAGAACCTTCGGATCAATGAACCCTTGCTTAAAAAAAAAAAAAAAAAAAAAAAAATACGATGAAAATGTCAAATAATCCTGGATTTGCCCCTGTCTCTAAGGGACCATTCACACAGATATTTGGATCCATCTATCTCCCCTGGGAGTCTCACTAAATTGCTGTCAGCATGACTGGCTTAAATGCCTGTCAGCCTAGTAAAGCTGTTAGGGGGTAATTATCTTTACCCCCTAGATGATTCGGTAGGGGTGACAGACATTTAAGCTGTTTAAATGTTAAAGACATTTAAGCAATTTAGTGAGACTCCCCAGGGAGTTGGGTCCATCCAGATGGATCGACCAAGGCATGGGAACCCAGTCTAAGCAGTTCTATGCTCCAGTGTTTTTTTATCTTATTTTTACTTGTCCACTAAAATTTTCAAGGGGTGGAAAGTTTATAAATATGCTTTTGCTACAAGCACGTTTTATGTGAGAGAGGTGAATTACTGGTTCAGCAATCCAATTACCCCCATTCAAATGATATTGATGAATCAGATGCTTCTTTTTTAATAAAGTGCATCATGTCCATTTTGTCTTATTTATTCCTTTGAAACGCTGTGTACTGAAACAAAACATATTTCAGATTATTTTAATGGTTGTCCTGACAAAATTGATCATCTGACCCCTCAATAATTTTAGTCTCATATTAATTTTTTTTACCATGGAATCTTTTAAGTTTATAATATGGTTATCAATAGTATTTTATGGACTGCTACAAATAATCAGTGCCTTCTTTTGAAAGAATACAATTCAGTGTTTTCCAAAATATAGAATAAACAATTCTCGTGTGCTAATTTGCACTTTTTTCTGAACCTTTATAATGGTCCTAGTCAGTGGAGGGAATTTATAACGAGGCTTACACGCGGAAACTTAGGTGAAGGTCGGGGCGATTTTTTTTTTTGGGTTATTGTCTCAAATGCGTTCTCTTTAACATATATACGTTTAAGTTACTGGGTTTTTGTCCACCAAGTTGATTCTTGTTATGAATTTATTTCGATTTTGATGATATATCAAAAAAATCTCGTTCGCTGTTTTTAGTAACCAAGAGAAGCCGCAATGGCGGCCAGTTGAAATATTTCAGCTTCGCGTATTTTAGTACAAACATTCCATTCTCATAAGTGTATGTATTAATATAAAAGCAGTAGAATGGGATCGGGAGCAAGTTCTGGTGTTAGGGAAATACGAATAGACCAGGAGAGTGAAAAATATGAGAGATATGACAGGTAAATTTTATTGCATATTTTGTGACCCTTTCGTTACTGTCGTTACCAGTCATTGAATCGGTGCCTTCATTATTTTGTCTAGTTTGTAAATCCATAAAACGTCCTGACATTTTCTAGATTAAACTGTAGAGTTGACAATTTACTGATCTCATTATTGCGCAAATCAACATATTGATTTCAGACCCCGGAGTAACAGGGAAGGCAAGGAAAGACGTGCGTACATGATGGACAGGGAGGTGAGTGCTTGGGACGTGGGACACTTGGTGTTTCACTAATATAACGCAGAGTGATACATTGAAGATAATTTAGTTTATTTTTCATATCGTCCCTACCTCTGCGAGATAAATAACACATTATCATTTGATAATGAAATCTTTTGCACTCCTAAATGGGCCACACTAGTGTTGTAGATTTCACTTGGTGCAACTTGTAAGTGACCAAATAAGTCAGAGTACTATCACTTAGGTGAAATATCTGAGGCATGTGAGTTTAACATGGCTGTTGATTTGATAACACCTACCTTTCTTGCAATGATAAAACCAGTATGGTAGAGATCAAGAGCTTTCAAATTTTAATCAATGCATTTGTACCCTGTTTTGTTCTTTGTCTTGTACATTTTTGATGCAATGTCGTCGTCGCCACTGATGACGCAGAACGTCGTGAGCCACATCATCGGCCGGACATGACGCAGCACACTCGTGGAGGCCGTGACGCGCTCGGCGTTTTTGATGTGGTAGTTTTGTTCTGTTTGATGTTGGTCTTTTTATGTGCCGTAAGCGGGTTTATTCTTTTATGAAAGCACAGGATTCTCTGGAAGCCTTATTTTTAGTCTTATATTAATTCTTATTTTGATCACCAAGAATAAACTTATCCAAAAACCCCAGTTGTTGTTTTTTCCCGCTTACACATTTAATGCTCCAAACAGATTAATATCCAATAAAATTACTTATAAATCTATAGTATGCGTGGTCATCATGTAGTACAGTCAATTTGTTTTCATTGTAAACAAAAAGCCCCATATCATAGGGATGAAACTCTCATACAATCATGTTATCTATCCGTATTGAGCAATAGGTGCCTCTCTCGGTATCCAGAATTGATACTTGGTGCTTTAAAGGTTTTTATTATGTGTCTGTTTGAGCATATTTTTAAAACTCATTTTCATATCTGATATGTGTGTTCCTAGCAACTCCCAAGCACCCCTATGTTAAATATCTTGTGGCATGACTATCCGAACTAATTTTATTTTCATTATTTTATGTAGCCATAACAATTTTCGTTTCACATGTATTGATAAATTGTTTGTCAGTTCATGTTTTTTTAAACACATTAATAACACAAGGCTCATTGTTTATGAATAGATCGTCTGTGTTAACAAAATGCTTTTATAAAAAGTTCTGTATTTTGAATTAAAATAAATACATTTATTTGATGTCTAGTTGGCAGTGCTACAAGCAGATTTGGCAAAATGCAGACAAGCAATGGCTGTTGCTGAAGAGAAAGCATCTTCTTCAGAGGCAGAAGCCAGGGAGTTGGAAAAACAGGTACTTTACAAAATGTTATGACACGTATATTTTTGTAACTGAATAGTACACGTACTTATGTTCTTAAACAAGTCTCAAAACCTAGTGTTTTTCTAGTTCCCTGTTTTTATGCGTTTGCACTTGTGTGGTTGTAATTTGTGTCACGAAGAAAAATTTTGGACATATTATTTCTTATTTCTAATGAAGTAAAACTCAGGTAATTAGTTTTGAATATATATATAAAGCATGGCCCGCTACTCATGTGCAAGGAACATTTAGATTCATGATTGTTTTTATTCTGTTTCAGATGTCTACCTTGGAGAGTACCAACCTAGATTTATTGGAAAGGATACAACAACTGGAGGAAAAGATAGAGAGTTTGCATGCTCAGAAGTGGGAAGATAAATCAGAGGTAGTGAAATTAAGCTTTCCAGTAGATATATCAGTATTGCTATTTTTCAAAAAGCAAATTATATTTAGACAGACAGAAGAATTAAGCCCTTCCTCTTTAAAAATAAATTAGATAGGTTCAGATGAAAATCTGTTTATTCATGTTACTAGATGTATGGTAATGACTCGGATCTTTTCATTGGAGAAAATTTATCAATCTTTCAAGTTCTTAATTTCCGAATCATTAAAAAGCATACTCTTTTTAATATTATTAGTGTTTTTACTATACAGAATAGAACTATTTAAGCTGATCAATTATTATTGTTTTTATTAGGAATGTAATGAAACATTGAAGGCTAAGGATCAGTATATAGAGAAACTGGAAAAACAGACAAACACCATAAATGCTGAGATTGAGAAAATGGTAGGTTATATATATATATATATATATATATTATGATTTTTTATCTGTCAGCTTATCCTATTGAAGATGCTTAATGTCTCAAATAGCTAAGAAAACCATTAAAAGACGTGCAGTGTGTGTTTGACCTCTATATAGCAAAAGTGAATTTTCTTAGATGTTTTTGCAATTTTCCTTTTATTGACAAGGTATACACTATCCAAAACTATGGAGGAAATTATTATCTTCAAACCTGTTTTTAAGCTCTTATTTTATAGGCTCATGTAAAAGGTCTTTAACTCTATTACAAGAGTGTTATTAAGCTAAAACTTTAGAACTAAAAACTATAATGATTGTAATTGTAATTTTGTCAATGGGTTTGGATATGGTATACCTTGTGTAATTACATTGTGTTGTCATTTCCAGAATGAATAATTTTTGCTATATAGGGACCATTCCCACAATCTTATCGTACTAGTAAGAGCGATCCATCTCTGAGGGGATTGTAAATTGCATTCAGTTTAAGAGTGCACGAAAGTTAATTACCCCCCTAACAGCTTCAGTGGGTGTGACAGACATCTAAGCCCCTTCAACTGCATGTAATTTAGCCAGAATCCCATAGGAGTTAGATGGATCCTGCTCGTACGATAGGGTATGGGAACCCAGTCATAAAGATCTAATGCTCATTGTGTATGATTAAATGTATACAGAAATTCAGTGGAAAGTATAAACAAGTGCTAAAAGGACCTTATCAATGATTGTACTTTAGTGGAGCCTATCAAATTATTTCTAACTACATTTACTTCATTTTAGAAAATAAGATTCAAGAAAAAGCTTCGTGTGGCTCATGCTAAACTAGCAGAAAACAAACAGGAATCCACACTGAAAATGTTTGAATTGAAGGATGAAATTGCCAAAATGACTGAGGAGAAGGCAAAATTAATAGGTGAGGATTATGTATAATAACTTTACTGCTTTATACAACTGACAACAAATTATATTTTGAATTAAGATTATCAATGGCGAATAAGTAATTTTGAAAGCATCAATCAGTATACACATGGATCTTTTGCAGAAGATCTTCAAATATCTTGCACAGACTCAGTTTTTCTTACGGACTTTTGTTACTCTTGTTTTGATAATTGAAAAGAGTTTTTCTTACAGACTTTTGCTACTCTTGTTTTGATAATTGAAAAGTTTTTTTCTTTAGAAATGCACCAAACTATCATTTCTTAACCAGTCTTCCGTGGTGCATCCTGATATTTTATTGTATGGGTAATTGATCTTAATCTAAAGTAAGAGCTGTTATTAAAAGAAAAAAAATGATCCTTGTGGCAATAGTGGTTTCCTTTGCATTCTGTTTTGTTGCAGAACGTCTAAATAGAGCCCAATCTGCTGTAACACAGGACAAGGAAAGAAATGTAACTGGGAATGCAGATGAAGCAGAGAGTGAGGAATGGGAAGACAGCAGAATGAAAATTATACTTGAACTTTCTAATCAGGTCTCAGAGCAAGACCTGAAGATTCAAGACCTTCAAAGAAAATTGTCAGAAAAAGACAAACTGGTCCAGGATCTTTCTGCACGAGTTAAAGAATTGGAGGCTGGTGCCAAATCTCAGGTAAAAGTGAATGGTAGTGGTGCAGCTCATACTGAAGTTGATCAGACATCAGCGGATATCTTGGAGTTAAGAGAAATTGCAAGAGAAATGAAAAAACTCAAGAAAACAACAAAAAACTCTAGCAAAACTCCTGACAAATATGAGGATACTCTGTCCTATACAAGTAGGGATTCTGACCTTAACAAGGAAGGGAGTATGAAACATGTAATGGGAAGTTATAATCCAAATAATAAAGATACTAGTCTTGATCTCAGAAAATCTCAAAATGGAGTGAAAGCAGAACTGCCTTTAACAGAAAATGTTCTAGTTTCCCATGTTCATAAAGATAGTGACACTGAACCATCCTCTAGGGCTTCTAGTGCAAGAACCAAAAGGAGAACAAAGAAAATAGAGTCCTTAAAAAGCAGAACTTCATTGAAGTCTGATGAGGCTTGCAATACTGATACTAGTAGACCTGCTAGCAACAATTCACAGAAATATTCTTTTTTTAAAAATAGAACTGCACCCTCCTCAGCAACCAGTAAATCCTCAAAAAACTCTGAGCTTGATAAAGAATCTGACATTGATAGTTTTGATGATGAAGATGTTTGGGAAAACAGCAGAAAATCAAAGACCTCACACACAATGAATAGGTCTGCATCTGGAAAATTTAGGACAAAAGGTTCAAATGGGAAATCAGAACTGTTTCTTGCACCATACCAAGGCCATGAAGATGCAGCCAGTATGTGTAATTTATATACTATGGAAGGCGAAGTTATTTTGGATCCATCTACTTCTGGTACACCTGTATCCCAAACACTGTTTGCAGTGCCTACTTAGAGTTTAAAGAAGTATTGAAGTATTATTAACTGCATGGTGCTTTCACATACAATTTACCAGAACAATTTGATGAGAACACATTTTCTCCAACCTAGACAATCCATGGTGTTTCTAAGTCTTTTGGCAAAATTATTTGTATAGCTTCCCCAGCCATTATGTGATTTGGTTAAATTTGCTGTATATTTAATGACTGATGTATAATTTGTAACATTTGGTATTTGTGTATTTGAGTCTGAGGGGCAGTCCTAAGTATTTTCTTGGCTTATACTTGCAAAATGTCTAAGAGACCCTTTAAATTAAATTTTGCACAATTCATTAATGTTATGAACCACAGGTCCTTTCATCTATATATATGAAATGCCTTGATGTAATTAAAGCAAAACAGGGCATACTCTGGATATTTAGAATTCCTGACTATCACAAGATTAATGGCACATTCTTCTTATCATAATTGTTATCTGTTTTTGAGATTTTATTTTCTAAATTGTTGCATATTATGTCTCATCATTTGTATCAAAAGTGCAATACATGCTGTGAATAACAAACTATACTTATGTAATGCTAGACCATGGTATCATTGGTATATAGTAAGAAAAACAATTGCAATATTTAGAATATCTTTAAAGCTGACCATTAGTTACAATGTCCTTTATTTTTCAAACACAGAAACAAACATACACAGAAAAAATCCACTCATTGTGAGCTATGGGTAAGTTGGTAACATTGCCCAGGACTGCATTAATTTTTTTTGTATGTGTTCAGAATACATCACAATTTCCTTTTCAAATGTTAAATAAAGATATTTACATATTGTACTAACTTTTTAATGAAAATGTCTTTTTACTACATAGGGCTACAAAAGCACTGAATCTATCACTGTGTTGTAAAAGTATTCCCTTTTAAATTTACTCTGCTTGAATAATCTCAGTAAGTATGTTTTCCCTCTGAAAGGAAATTGCTGCAGTCCTGATATTGTCATAACCGAACTGGTGTAAAAACATGTATATCAGGCATGTATTAAATGGCCATACTTACATTTTTTGTACTAGTCCAGAAATTGTTGAAACAATTTTTTTTCAAATGAGTGCAAAGAAAAATTATGATTATTAATTACATATGCATTTATGAAGATATATCAGTTAAAGCAATCGGTACAAAAAATGCAAGCTTCCCATGACCCAGTATGCATAGTGTATTGATATTGGTTATAAATTAATGTATTGTATGTGTCATATAACTGGAACAAGATGTACAGGTGACTGACAATGATGGTGCTTTCATAATTCATGAAATGGTGCACATTTTTGATGGAAGGTTTGAATTTGGACTTCATGATGCAGCTTTATAAGTAGTAAACAATTTCAGAGAAATGAGTTATACTTCAGTTGGCTTTAGTATTTCCTCTTGGTTTCAGACAAAATGCCACATTAACCCTTGGTTTAATAGATTACGATTGTAATATTCGAAAAACATTCCATTTCATTCTATATCGAACAATTTTCTAGGCATCTGCTTAATTTTCCTTGAATTATGCATAAATATTGCATACTAGCCTCATTTATGTAGGTGGTAGCACTTTTGATAGCAGTTATTTAGTATATTTCCCAACTTCCTACACAACTGTGAACAGCCAGACTGAATTGTTTTTCCAAGCTGGGTTCCATTTTCAAGTAAGTGAGCACCAGAGAAAGGTATTTTAGTGCATTTTTATATGATAGTCAATAAGCTACGGTTGTTCTATGTTCTGTATCAAGTTCAAGAAGCTCAGGTTGTTCTATGCTATGTTTATCTGTACCAAGTTCCTGGCATGAAAGAACATGAGTGGAGTTATGATCCCGTCTGTGTTTCCCTGGTAGGGCAGGTATCTTTCCAGTGGCTACATCTGAAGAGGACTGTATATGAAAATCTTTTTGACTTCTGTTACTAGATAGAACCACATGTTTGTTGCAGAGGATTGATAACCCTTGCACAAGTTGAGAGGTCAGCAGGTTTTCAAATTGTCCCAAAAATAGGATTCCAGGTATGTCTGTAAACTATTCTTTATTACTAGGTGGAAATGGTAATCAGTTCAAAGTAAGCATTGGCATTATTCTGCTAAATTGCAGGATTCCTGAAATGATACTGTGCCAGAAGAAATTGGTGTCTTATTGCTCACATGCCTGTTTATTTTGCAGTGTAAAACTGGTTAATGCCACACTTGTTATAATCTTTATTTGAAGTGTCTTCATTGTAAATTTATAATGTTTATTTTGCAGTGTAAAACATGGTTAATACCACACTTGTTATAATCTTTATTTGAAGTGTCTTCATTGTAAATTTATAATGTTGTTAGGAAGTAAAATATTTATTAAAACAAGAAAAATGAAACAACTTTTTGAAAAAACAAGGGCTATCCATTTACAAGCCAAATTAAGTCATACCCACACACACTTGTGTGTATTGTTTGTATATTTTCCCAGGTTCATTAGATCTAAATAAGACATTACCATGTTGCTCTTTTCAATACCGCAGACATTTTTGTGGGGTTTGAGGGTTCACTGCAAAATTTTATTTCATACTTGGCTGAACCAGTGCCTTGGTTGGGAATAGATCCTGCTTTCTTTTGATAGAGTTAAGATCAAATTGTCTTGTGCATATCAGATTACTATTAGTAGACAATAAAGCTCATGGAAAGCCAAGCTGACATATGTGTACTTTGTTCACTATTGCATGTGATTATGTATTTCAGGAAATTTTCATTATTATTACATTCCTTGGAAATGGTTTGTGCAGTTGAGTGGAAATTCTCCCAAAGTGTCTACAGTATTGTCCTGTGTCAAAAGTTCAATTCTTTTCCATTTGGTGGATACATTTAGGTACAAGTTGATTGTGTCTAAAAGACCACAGCAAATGCAAAGCATATGAAATGCATTGTGTGCCCTGAATCTGAGAGTTGGGCACCATCAATGTATTGGATATGTAGCGGTCATCAATGATTAATGGATTCTATATCAGTTTAGTACAGTTTCAGCATTATATTACAATGATATTGTAGTTTGAGTCCCCAGATAATATTTTCAAATTTCCTGACTGTCATGACTTTATCAGGTCCAGTTTGTGAATAATTGAAGTTAAGGGTAAGATTGGGATATCGAGACTTAAGATATTGAGGTATGGCTGAGATACTAGCTTACAAGTAGACTTAAAATTAAATGATCATATATTCAATTAACCTTTGGTCCCATGATTTTATTGTTAAAATGAGAGGTGATAATGACTGCAATTTTCCATGCTCTCAGTTGAAGAATAAACTGCATCTTTCTATGAAATGGTGATGCTGATATTAATCAGTACGAAAACATGTTGGTATTTTGAAGGAGTATTTCTTGCTAACAGTTAACCCACTTCATCATTTAGTAGACTATAAAGTGATTGGTTTTAAAATAATTTTAATCTGATTTTGATGCTAAACTTACATTTGCATAGAGTCATGATCTCTTAAAATAATGCATTTACAAGCAAGTAAATCGGCAGTGAATTGATGTCATGAAATTGCCAACATTTTCTGTTAGTATTTGGAATAGGATACAATTTTAGTCAGACTACTATTATTGCTGATGACTGATTCCAGTTTGCACTAGTTTCTGTGGTCTGCAATCAGTCAGGCAGACAGTTACACTTCTTCCAATGTATCTGGAGCAAGTACCTGGCTGAGATATCATAGGCAGGAGGTAGTTTTGTCAGAGGGAATGTTAAAAAAAGTGTTCAAATGTGTTATTGATGGAAAAATCACTATTTGAAAAATTGACTTATTTCAAAGCTTTCAAATATTGTAAAAGAACTCTGAAAGCTATTTCCATAATGTAATACATCTAGTATAATGTATGTATATTATTAAGTGTATGAAACATTGTTTTGTTTTCAGCAAGGCAGGAAAAAGAGCTATAACATTGAACATTGAGTGTATATGTAACATTCATTGCATGTCATTGCACTGCTGCCTCATGTTTAGTTTCATGTCATAGATAAACAGTCCTAGATTAAATTACATATTTTATTACCTATGCTTACCTAACTTAAACACAAATGTGTTGCCAATTTTTGCATTACAGTTTATGGTTGACAAACTGCAAAAACGCTTGGAACCAACTCAGGTGAGTGATAAAAATGCAGCTTGGAATTAATGGCTCAGTATCTTGTTAACCAGTGGCAATGTAGAGTCACACAGGTTAATTATGAAATTCAGGCTTTTCTTGTTGAAATGAAATAATTAATCTGAGTCTGTGCAGTTTTGGTTTTAATGTATAGTAGATAGCAGATAGCCATGAAGGGAGAGAGAGAGAGAGAGCAGAAAAGGGAAATGAAGAGGATGTTTATAATGTTTTAAAATAGCAATTTCTTAAAGCAACCCTTGTTTTTTGTGTTGTATGCAGAGTAAAAATTAATAAATTGGTAATACTACAGAGTCAAATAACAAGATTAAGAATTGTGAGAGTTTATGACTAAAAAAAACTTGATTAAAACCCCATGTACATATTCAAAGCTAAAATATCCCCAAATTTCTGTAAGACATACAGGATGTAAATAATATTTTAAAAATACTGAAATGAAGACTTATTACAGATTAATTAAAATATTGTTGAAATAAAAAGATTTTGAAGATGACCAGTATGTTCAGCAGTTCGTAAGAACTGAGGCAGCTTTTTAAACTGTAAGTTAAAAGCTGAGAATGAATGATTTCTATGACCATGGTAGTTGAACTAGATAAAAAGTAATAGACAGGAAGTTCCTGATGTAATTGCTGAAAACATGCTTATTGATATGAAGTTATAATTATTTGTTACAATTGTATTTATTTTAGTTTTTGATCAAGAAAAATGATTGAACAATGCTACATAATACCATAATAATAATGTGCGGCTGCAAAAACATGAACCATCAGTAAAAAAAGATGTGGCTTCTATTAGGGATGATGTGTTCACCATGGACAGACAAGAAAATTAATGAAACTGTCCTAAGGGAAGCAAATTCCAACTGGGCCTTTTTAATTAAGACAAATAAGACAAGCCACTTTCTTGGGACATGTATTGAGAAGAAATAAATTAATATAGAACAACTGGTTACATCAGGAAGGCAAATGAAAACAAGCACAGAGAAAAAATATGAAAAACATTGAACAACAGTGCTTAATAGATGGGTTGACTAAGGTGACAGACGTGATGAAAGCTTTCAAAGACAAAGACATTTGGGAGGGAATGATCACCAATGTTATGAAGCAGGGCATATGTTGATGAATGGATGCATGAGAAACTGTACAGTTAATAATTGAAGAAGGCATATATTTTTTCATAATAGATAAACATAAACTTTGATGAATTTGTACAGGTGGAAGATCAGTTTGAAATTATTTTACCAAAAAGGTTAGTCTGGCAGCTTCTCAATGTAGATGCTCTCGTAACTAGCAATTTTTTTCTCCTAAAAATGCTTAAGAAAATAATTATTTTGGATGATGATAAACAGGCTTGAATACTGGTTATTGATTTATTCCTTTGAGGGATAAACAAACCATTGACAAGAATTAGAAGTACTGAAGCCATTGTATATGCATAGGAATACATCATGTTGTTGATAGCTGATCTTTTTCTCTCAGTGGGTCTTTTTGTATTTTCAGTGATTTCCCAGAGGATGGAGTGTTGAACTTGAAATAACGAAAAGAAATGCTTTCATTACTGACAAGAATGGATGTTGATTTTATAGATGTAATTTTCTAGGTTAGTGTGGCAGTCTTACTTTGGGCTCTTGCAGCAAAATGACCTTATTTTGACATTCAATTGCTTATTTTCAGAGTTTCATTTGAAAGAATCTACAAAAAAAGTTGCACTTGGAGAGTGACCCAGTAAGTTTTTTTTATCAGAATTGGATTTGCTTTATTGAAATTTATTAGATTATTATTATTATCATCATCATTCCTATGTTCATTTTGAGTTTTTGATACAGAACAAACAATGTTAATATAATTGGTTGCTTTCAATTTTTGATGATGATAAAATGATATAAGATGGTTATTTATTAATAGATTTTTTTCTTTGCAGCATCTTCCTTTTGAGTTTGAGTGAAAAATTGGCAAGGTAATGTGATATGTATCTTTTATATTGTCATCTCTTAAGTCTCACAATCAGAGGGATGCAGATGGCTTGTGAGGGGTTAATTGCAATTGTATATTGTGTGACTGTCTTCTTACTGTGTTTCTTTGCTCAGAGTATCAAGAAACCATCTCACTTGCTGTTAATAAGATACAAGAACAAACATTTTATGTAAATGCGTGGAACCATACCAACCATTTCTTTTCGTTATTTAATTTGGTACTCTGTAAACTTTGATATATTGGTAACTTAAAATATTAAATCAGTCCCCTGAAGTTGGCAACATTTGTTACATGTGAGAATAAGTTTGTTTCTTCATTGGTCAGCATCTGAAAACTCTGCCTTTAATAGTAATTTTAAAATGTTTTATTCAGGTCTAATATGGGTGTAACAGGAGCAAGGAACATTTTGTTGCAGTGAACTTGTTGTGCCACATATCTGGTGAGAAGAATAGTACGTTGATTGGGATCCACAACATTTTCTTCTTTTTTCCTATTCTTCATATTCACTTATCTTAGGTAAGGTTGGGTTTGTCAAGTGGTTTTCGG